GTGTGTGTGTGTGTGTGTGTGTGTGTGTGTGTGTGTCAGGAGCCCTGATGTACGTGTGTTTATAGCAGGAGCCCTGGTGGTCTAGGGGTCACACACTGGGGTGCTAACTGCAAGGTCAGCAGTTCAAAGTCACCAGCAGCTCCTTTCTACTCCTGTCACCTGTCATTGTCTCAGAAACCCACAGGGAGGGCGCTGTGAGCAGCATCCACTCTATGGCACTGAGTTTCGTCTTCCAGTGTGTATATATGTAAACACACACACACACACAGAATGCCTGATTTACTTCAAGGGCCTGGAACACTCCATGTGGGGGCCCCAAGTCCAGAATCCCCGGGCCCAGCAGCAGGCCGGAGTCTGACCCGTGGGCCAAGGGCCAGGAGAGTACAGAGCGCAGGGAGAGCTCTGGTCTGGAGGCTGACAGCGCTCAAGGGCAGGCCCCCTCCAAGGGCGGGGTGATGGCACCAGAAGCCGCCAGCCCTGAGCTCGTGCAGACCCCTGGGAGCCAGGGTGTGGCCACACTGACTCACAAAACAAACCGCTGATTAAGGGGGGGGGGTGCGTAAGAGAAAGCAGCTGGGCGCCCTCTCCCCACCCAGGCCTGCACTGAGATCCAGGCCATCAGCATGGAGAAGAAGCACATCTTGCAGCAGTGGGCCACCAGCCTGTTGGGGATGAAGCACCGAGATGCGGCTCACAAGACCATCCTGGACGCCCTGAGGTGCGGGGAGCTGGGGGGCGGGCACAGAGGCACACCTGGAGCCCCCCTTGTCTTTGGACCCCGCTGTGCTCCAGCTCCCAGAGGTCTTTCTGGGTGGGGAGGGAGTGAGAGGCGATAATCACACCTTGAAGTTGGGCTTCAGCCCCTATTGCAGACAGTGTGCCTTAGACACTGCTCTGCCGCAGACTGACCAAGACTCCATCCTAGCACCCTCCAGGATGGGGTGGTCAGGGCGTCAGAGGCCCCCTTGGCAGGTGGTGGCAGCAGGGGTGGGTGTCTTTGGGCCTGAGTTCCCATGCAGTCATCCCTGTTCTGTGGCGCCCCACCCACCCCTGGGCCGGGCCGGGACTGCAAGCTGATGGGCTTCAGGTGTAGATGGCCAGGCTGACCCCTGAGCTCCACTCGGTGGACCCCAACCTCCAACTGGCCAGTCAGCAGTCAGGACCCCGCCAGCCGTCCATAGTGCATTTGTCTGCTCGGCCCCCAGTTTTAGTCACACTATCTGGATAACTGTGGCTTGACCGAAAGTCTTAAAATCAGATGGTGTGATCATCTACAAAGTGGTTCTGACTAGTCTAGGTCCTTTATATTTCCATACACACTTTAGGATAGCTTGCCAATTTCTTAATTAAAAAATAGAAATAGCCTCCTGGGATTGCGATTGTAATTGCATTGACTCTTTAGATCAGCCCTGGTGGTGCTATGGGTTAGGTGTTGGACTGATAGCCACATGGTCGGTGGTTCAAATCCACCAGGGAGCCAGGCGATGTAGAGAAGTGGTTCTCAACCTCTGGGTCCCAACCCCTTTGGGGTCGAACGACCCTTTCACAGGGGTTGCCCGATTCATCACAGTAGCAAAATGACAGTTATGCAGTAGCAACAAAAATAATTTTATGGTTGGGGGGGTCACCACAACATGAGGAACTGTATGAAAGGGTCGCGGCATGAGGAAGGTTGAGAACCACTGATGTAGAGTCTGGGGAACCCTGTGGAGTGTTGCTATGAGTCGGAATCAACTTGATGGCAGTGGGTTACACTTGACAGCATGAGTGCTCTGCCCCAGGAGTTGGTCTCTCTCCAGGCTCTCTCTAGGTCTCAGGCTGATGGGACCCTGTGTTAGTCAGGGTAGACTAGAGAAACACATCCACAGAAACTCATATGTATCTAAGAGAGTTTTATTTGAAAGGTAAATGTACATTAAGAAAGCATCCCAACCCAATGCTGGCCAAGCCCACCAGTCCAACATTAGCCCATCTGTCCAACACCATTCCACAAAGTCCTCCTGTATCCCACAAAGCACACGCAATGACACCGGCTGCAGGAGGAAAGCCGAAACAGTGTGTAAGCATCTCAGCGCTGGCTGGGATCCCATGAGGCTGCTCCAGCACCCAGGGCTGCATCGGGGTAGGTCCATGTAGCTTCTTCTCAGGGATGTCTTGCAGGAAGTGAGCCTTGCCAGCTGAAGCAGGGAACTGGCTGAGGCAGCCGCACCCTGATCCAACCATCACAAAGCAAGAGTCCTGAGAACTAGAAAGGGGTGACTCACTGAGCCATTTATCCCTCCGCCCTTCAATTAATCCCATGTGCTTATCGGCCAGGCAGGTCAGCACAATAAACCTTAACTATCTCAGACCCACTGAAAACAAAACAAAGCACCCCCTTCCATCCGTCTGATTCCAACTCAGAGGGACCTCATAGAGGGCTTCTGAGAAGGGCACTCGTTGGGGGAGCCCACAGCCCCCTCTTTCTCCCTTGGAGTGGCCAGTGTGTCATCCCCTAAGCCACCAGGGATCCCTGGACTTGACCTGGCTTCTAGCTTTTTCCATCGGCAGTGCACTGAGGGGCAGGAGCAGCATTGAAGTGAGACTGACCAGACCCCCTGCGCAGCTGCCCCCGGGTGCTGTGGGGCTTTGGGGAAAGGACACCAGGATCTGCGCTTCCCTATCCACATCTGTAAATGCTGGGGCGATCACACTTGCTTTCTAGAAGTGACTGTCGAGGTTAGAGAAGCTGGCAGATGTCACATGCCGGCCACTGCCCCCTCCCCCTTCACAGCAGTGAGAGCCTGGGACTTGGGCTGTGCACCCGCAGACCCTGCCCCAATCTAGCTGAAGATCGGAGCTGGGTGTGGTGTCTGCAAAACATGCATTCCCTAGTTTCTCTCTCTACACGGAGGGGGGGGGGCTGGAGGGAAGGTGTCCCATGGGGTGTGTCCAACGCCCCCTCCCTCGTGCGTCCCTGCCAGCACATCACTGGTCTTCTCTCTCGGTCCGGCAGCGAGTGCCAGCATCAAATGAAGTCCATGGATGGGGAGATAGAAGCATATAAGAAATCTATCATGAAGGAGGAGGAGAGGAACGAGAAGCTAGCCAGTGTGCTGTTCAGGGTGGACACCGAGGCCCACCTCATGCAGAAGCTGACCGCCCAGTGTCTGGCCAAACAGGAGGTCCTGCAGAATGAATTCAACACCTACAGGCTGGCCATGCAGGAGCTCGAGGACAAGCTGGGCCAGGCCCACCAGGTGCGGTGGCGGAGCTCCCCTCCAAAGGACGGGCGGGGGGGCCTCTTGGCAGGGAGCCTCGGAGGCCACGTCCCTCCCTGCCCGTCCCTTGCAGGAGCACGAGGCTGTGGCTGCCGATCTGAACGCTGTGAGCCAGGCCATCCAGTACGAGATGAACACCAGGCGGAAGGTGGAGGCCTGCATCTTTGAGAAGCTGCAGGAGCACATGACCTCCAACAAGATGACCAAGTACTTCAACCAGCTCATCATCAAGCTGCAGAAGAAGAAGACCAACTTGGTGCGAGGGCTGCCAGGCTGGGTGGTGGTCCTCAGGCTCGAAGGGCAGGCGCAGGGAAGCCCCGCCCCCCAGAGGGAAGCCCCGCCCCCAGCAATAGAGGCCACCGGACAGGCTTGGGGAAGCCCCGCCCATCAAGTATAGGGAAGCACCGCCTCTTGGTTATAGGGAAGCCCCGCCCCTCAGCCATAGGGGCCGCAGGCCGGTGTGGGGAAGCCCCGCCCCTCGGCTATAGAGCAAGGAAAGTGGCTCTGAGCCGAGCCGCCACCCAGAGACCTGCCTGTCTGCTCCCATAAGCTTAGCACTGAGAAAAGCCTCGCGGGCAGGCAGTTCTCAGTCCCGGGGTCACTACGGGTCTTCACAGCAGGCTCTGGGTGGCACCAACTGCTCAGAGCTGGGCTGCCAGCCAGAAGGCTGATGCCCCAGCTGAGGCGCATCAGGAGGACAGACCTGACCAGCTGCCCTCTGCACATGGGAGCTGCCCAGAGCCACGCTCCACCCAAAAGACAGCAGCCCAGGAAGGAGGCGGGTGGGGGTTTGTGCCTGGCCTTTCCGGTTCCCACTGTCCCCCACCCCCGTTTGTGCTGCAGGGCACAGACAGGCACAAGAAAAAAACATGGCACACGACTGTAATCCCACCAAACAGGCACCAAGCCCCCTGCCAACAACCCCCCTGGGCAGGGCGACTGCCCCAGCGCGAAGGTCTATGCGCAGGCAGCCTCCCTGCTCCCTCAGAGTGGCTGGTGGGTTCGAACCACCGACCTTCTGCTTAGCAGGCCAGCTCGTAACCCACTGCACCACCAAGGCTCCTTAAGGGGAGATGGCCCTGTGCTTCTACCGACCCCCAGCAGAGGGCAGTGAAGGGCCCCCAGGAACTGGTGGGTCCCTTGATTTCCCACCTGCTGGAAGCCCAACTCTTGGAAAGGGGACCTTTTCCCCTAACTGCTCAACCCCTCACACTTGGGGGCCAAGGTGCATGCGGAGAGGTGCTGATGGGGGATGAGTGGGGGTCCAGTCACCAGAGGGTGTCTGCTATGCAGAGACCCAGGAGGGAAACTGCCTGGGAGCAGAGCTGAGGTGCGGGGAACACAGGCGTCCGAGGACAGTGAGCATGGGATACTGACAGGGGACCCAGCAGGGAAGGGATGGGTCCCCACCACCTGTGAACTTGGGGACAGGAGCCATCCTGCAGAGTGGACAGCCCCTCTGAAACCTCAGAAGTGGATGGCCACCTTGGACCAGCCTCAGCAGAGGAGAGGACCCGGTGGGGTGGGTGACAGGCCACCTCGGATGACAAGAGCCCATTGGGGTGGGGGGCCATGAAGGCTGGCACTGCTGCCAGACCTGATGCTGGAGGTGTCTGTCCCAGGTGACCAGGGCACGGAAACATGGGGCGTGCTGGGTGTCACCATGGTGACTGTTGGAGGCTGAGTGACACTAGCAGTTATTTCAGGAGGAAGAGCTGGGGTGCCCCCCCCCAGGAAGGGCTGGGGGTCAGCAGGAGCCAGAGGGGGTGCTGAGAGCCAGGGCCACAGTGAGCAGAGGTGCTGGCTGCATGAACGGTGAGGGCTTGGGTGCTGGGACTGTGACACCGAGGCGTGGGAGCTGAGGCCACACCAGGAGCAGCTGTGTCCCAAGGGCTGAGACAATGGGAAGACTCCCACCCCATCCCCATCCCTACGCCCCCAGTCCCCCAAAGTGGGTCTGGCTTCATCGGAGGGCTGGACGTGCAGGCTCCCAGGCTGGGAGTTTTCACCCGCCTTGTAGTTTGGGTTGCTAACTGCTAGGTCAGCAGTTCGAAGCCACCAGTCGCTCTTTGGGAGAAAGGTGAGGCTTGCTCCTCCCATAAAGAGCTAGTCTTGGAATCACACCAGGGCCCTCCTACCCTGTCCTGTAGGGTTGCTTAGAATGGGCATGAACTCAATGGCAGTGAGTTGGGGTTTTTAATGTGTGTTCCCAAGTATTCTTTTAATAAGCCCTCCAGCTGTGAATCGGCCTGCGGAAACCTGTCTTCTCTGACCTGCAGAGCTGAAAGGGGGCATAGGGGTGGACTACAGGGACCTCTGGGGTGGCAGGAGCGCTGCTGAAAGCTCTCAGTCAGCCAATAGTCAGACTCCCAGTGGCCGGGAGGGAGGGGGCACAACAGAGAGCCCTGCTGCCTGGGAGAGTGGGCCTGCTTGTTGGTGGGACCTTACCGCCGGTTTAATGAGGAAAGCCCAATAGGGTCACCCCCTTCTACCTGTTGGAAGCACCGCTTCAAGCAGGTCCTCCTTGTGGGGGTGATGCCGACTCCCCGCTCTCGAGATGTGTATCTGGAAGTTCTCCCGATAGCTTCCCCAGCCCCGCCCCACTCAACCTGCAGGCTCCCCCTGGAGCAGGACTGGGACGGGCGCACCCACGACCTTCCATTGCCTCATGCAGGTGACACACCTGTCCAAAATCGACGGCCAGATCGCCCAGACCACGCTGAACATCACCAACACCGACTGCCGGCTGGAGGGCCACCAGAAGGTGTTGGCGGAGCTGGACAAGGAGGTGAAGAGGCTCACCGAGCTCATCGCCAACAGCGAGAGCGAGATCTCCCGGCGCACCATCCTGATTGAGCGGAAGCAAGGCCTCATCAACTTCTTCAACAAGCAGCTGGAGCAGATGGTCTCCGAGCTGGGGGTGAGCCCCAGGGAGTGAGGGGGCTTGTCTTTTCAGGAACTCTCAGCTGTGAGGAGTTAATGAGGATACAGCGGGGTGGGGGGTGGGGAGGCTGCTGGGTGTGGCCAACGAGCAAATGCCAAAGGTTGGCCCTGGGACCCCCACCCAGAGGAAGCTTGGGAGAAAGGACTGGCCACCTGCTTCCGAACAGACAAGCCATTGGGCTGCTCACTGAAGCCCCCCAGCCACTGCACAGGACAAGGGTCAGGCTGTCTGCTCCCCCAAAAATCCGCAGCCTCTGAAACCCCAGGGAGCCCCTTCGACTCTGTCATGTAGGGGCCGTGAGCTGGAACCGAATCCAAAGCAGTGTGTGTTGGTTTATCATAATTTCATTATCCCGTAGGGGGTGGGGTGGGGTGTCCAACCAACCATTTGGGGGGCCATGGAGAGGAGGAGGCTGTGTTTGGGCAGGGGGTGGGGGCCTTCAAAGAACCGAATGGAATGTTCTCACAGTTCTGGGGGCTGGAGGACGCCGGGCCTCAGCAAGGCCATGCTTTCTGTCCACCTGTGCTGTCTGTCAGTGCTGGGGAGAGAGCCTTCCTGCGCCCCTCCAGCTTCTGGTACCCCGGCGCCGGTGCCTTGCCTGTCCTTGGTATCTGTCTTCCCACTGTCCCTGTGAGTCTCTCTCTCTCTCTCTCAGCTCCCTTCTATAAAACAACCTTCCCTGCTGTCCCTGTAAGTCTTTCTCTCTGAGCCCCCCTTCTATGAAACACCCCTCCCTTGAGTCTGTCTCTCTGGGCCCCCTTCTATGAAACACCCCTGCTGTTGTGAGGGCTGTCGGCCCCCACTCGCAGCTGCCTGCCCCCCAGCCATCCGCACACACTCTTTGTTTGTGTCTCAGCTCCGTGTTGCAACCACAGAGCCAGTCCATCGCTGACACCCCCACCCCCACCCTCCGCCGAACCCCACTTGCAGGGGGAAGAGCTGGGGCCCCTGGAGCTGGAGATCAAGAGGCTGACGCGGCTGTCGGAGGAGCACACGGCCAGCGTGACCCAGGCGCAGGTGAGCTGGTTGCGTCTGCAGCAGGACATGGTCCAGGCCACGCAGCAGCGGGAGGAGCAGCTGGCCGACCTGGACCTGTTCAAGAAGGAGCTCCGCATCCTGGAGCAGAAGAAGCTGCGCATCGACAGTGAGTGCTGGGGGCGCCGCGCTCCGGGGAGGGGCTGTGCCACTCTACGACGCCACACGTGTCACCGGGTCATCCTTCAGAAGGTCCCCCTGCCCCTGCTCTCGAAAGGATCGAGGAGAAGTGGTGGCAGAGGAGTCGCGCCACCTTCCTCGTGGTTTCCGTCACTCGCACACACTGCCCCCCTCCTCCTCCCGCCCCCGCCTCACCCAAACCGCTTCCCATCGATCCTTCCGAGTTGGTTGTAGAGAACAGGGGCAAGGGACTTTTTGTGCCAAGAGTCCCTTCGATATTTATGACGTCATTCGGGTCAAGCATTGTACTGTTGTTGTGAGGGGCCGTCGAGTTGGCCCCAACCCATAGAGACCCCACCTGTGCACAGCAGAGCAAAAGGCGCGCCAGCCTCACAGTTGCTAGGCCTGAGCTCAGGCCTGCATCCATCCTGGCCTTCTCCGCCTTCCTGCGCTCCACTTGACCAAGCGTGATGTCCTTCTCCAGGGACGGGTCTCTCCTGACCACATGTCCGAAGTCTGCAAGGCCAGGTCTTGCCGTCCCTGCCTCGAAGGAGCCCTATGGCTGCACTTCTCCCGGTACAGACCAGTTGGTCCTTTTCGCGGCCCACGGTACTGTCAATATTCTTCTCCAGCACCACAGTTCAAATGCATCGAGTCTCCTGGGGGCTTCCTTATTCAGCGCCCCACCTTCACGTGCGTGCGTGGGATGCCGTGGAAAATGCCAAGGCTCAGGCCAGGCACACTCTCGTCCTGAAGGGGACGTCCTTGACCTCATGCACTGTGTCTTTTGATTTCTCGGCTGCTGCTTCCATGAGCATTGATTGTAGCTCACTCCGAGTGCGGTGGCTGCTAACCACAAGGTACGCAGTTCAAACCCACCAGCTGCTCCTCAGGAGAATGCTGAGGCTTCTATTCCTGTACAGAGTTACAGTCTCGCACCAGCAACTGCGCAGGAGAAAGACGGGGCTTTCTACTTCTGTAAACAGCTATAGTCTTCTGTAAACAGCTATAGTCTTGGACACCCGCCGGGGGTCACTATGAGTCAGCATCGAGTCCATGGGTGTTAGACCAGGTTCACTAGAAACAAATGCGGTGACACGCATATATGTGTAAGAAAGGGCTTTCTATCAAGAAGTCATTATATCAAGCATACATCCCAACCCAGTCCAGATCAGGCCCATAAGTCCAATACTAGTCCATAAGTCTGATACGAGTCCTTAAGTCCTTCTTCAAACTCACACAGCCACATGCAGTGATGCAGAAGGCAGGAAGATCACGGGCCGGTGGGTGCAAAATGTTGTGGATTCACTGGTGGTGGACGCATCTACAGGGCTCTTGGCCGCCAGCAGGGACAGCCAGCAGGAAGGTGAAGGGCAGAGAGAGAGAGGTTCCCAGGGCCTTCCTTACGAGAAAGCTGTGCCCACAGGAGGTACCAGCAGGCTGTGACCCGATTGACAGGCTAGACTCCGCCCCTACCCGTGGGAATACCTTCAAGTTGACATGAAATTATGTAACCACCACAGTCCTCTGCAGTGTGCCTGCCCTCCACAGTCCGTGTGGCTTTCCAACCCAGACACGCGTGTCTCTGTCTATTTTGCCCTTTGGATCCCTCAGGAGGGATCAGATTTAAGACACACACCCTCTCACGTAGGCTGACAGGCTCTTTCCGGACAGGACCACACCCACAAGCACTGGTTGGTGTGGGTGCTGGACCCACACAACAGGCCCAATGGTGCCTCCAATGACACCCTCGCTCACAGTGTACTGTCTCATGGGCCCGCATCCCCTGCCTTCCCCTGGCCGTCTCAGGTCCCAGGGGTCGGGACAGGGGTCCCTTCCGGGGCCACTATCCCTATAGGGACTGTCAGGACCTCTTTGGTCCCACCTGGTCATATTTGTGGGTCTTTGTGGGCCCTCCTGACCCGCCAGGCTGGGGAAATGCTGCCTGGATCAGGCCCTTCTCAGTCAGAACCACCCCCCTGCTCCCTGGAGCAGCCCGCCTGTCCGTTCTGTTCTGGACTGACCTCTGGTGCTGTGGGGACAGTCAACAGGGCTTTAGGCCACCTCTCAGAGGTTGCAGTACTTTCCCCCCCGGGCTGTCCGCTGTCCACCAAGGCCTCCCGAGTGCCCAGAAATGGGCCAGTCTTCCTAACCCAGGTTTCAGGAGATGCCGCCCCCCCTCTCCTGGCCTGGCAGTGGTGTAATTTGTGGGAGGGCAGGGGCCTCAGGAGTGAATGGACATAGGTCATGACCTGCTGTGAACCAAAAGGTTGGAGGTCCAAGTCCTCCTGAAGGCCCCTAGCAAGATCCCTCCGCCAGCGATCTCCTGGCAAAATCCCTCCGCTGGAAGTGCTCTCCGGCGCAGTTTGTTCCTTTGGGTTCTGGGCACCGGAAGGAGAGCGAGTCAGTAGGTAGCCCGGGGAGAGAACCCTGGCTGGCCTTGCAAAAGGTTGTCCTGCTGTGGTGGCCAGTCTCCCCAAGCCCCTGCCAGCACCTTGAGCCCCAGCCAAAGCCCGAACCCTGGCCAGCGCCCCGCGCCCCTGCCCCCCGTGCAGACAAGATCGCGCAAGAGAAGAAGGAGCAGAAGGAGGTGGAGCACCACATGAAGGAGCTGGACAAGGACCTGAAGCAGCTCAACGTGCTGATGAGCAAGAACCGGGGCAACTCCCAGGAGCTGCAGCAGGTCACCATGGTGACCGAGACCGAGTTCCTGCGCTCCCTCAAGGTCTATAGGCCTGGCTGCTCCAGGGGAGGTAGACGCAGGCCAAGACCCACGTGCTGCCCGGGAGGGGGCTGCGGCGTGGGGTAGCGCGGGGATGACTTTGACCCTGGGGCAGAGCTCTCCAGGGTGTCCTGCAGCCCTGGGTCCAGACATGGCCACCATGGGCTCTCCCTTCCGGAGTCTACCCCCAGCTGACCGTGCCCTGCTCACCCAGGCCGCGGAGCGGGAGAGCATGGAGCTGCAGGAGAGGCTGGCTCAGCTCAACGAGGAGAAGCGGTCCCTGCTCACCAGCCTGGTGGAGGCCGAGTGAGTGGTCCCGGCCTTGCCGACTCAGTGCCCCTTCGTGGACAGGCTGCGGGAAGCCCCGCTAGGGGCTGCACCGCACCATCTTCCTGGCTGCCCCTCACCTAACTGCGTGTCGGCGGGAAATGAGGGGCTTCCTTTGAGACCAATGTTTCTGAAAATACGATTCTTAGTATTTGCAAAGAAAGCACGGGCCACCCTCCCTGCCTGTGTCCTAAACAGTGGTCACTTGTGCTGACACACGTGTCATGCCGGCCCTCACCCACTCCCAGAAAGCCCTTGTTTTCTTTTCCACCAATGGGGTGGGTTTGTAAGGGCAAACCCCGACTCGGAGCAGAGTGTGGCGGTGAAACCTTGCCTAAAGAGAAGCAGCGATGGCCGTTTGTATGAACATGGGGAAACATTCTGAGGGTGCCCAGAGTCCCACGTGAACCCTAATAGGCCACCACCAAGCTGCCATTTGTGAGGGGCCAGGGCTGCGCACCAGACTCTGGTCGCCCCTTTGGCTTCTAGCCCTTGGGACGGAGTGGGTATAGGTTGGGCCGCTCACCACAAGGTCAGCAGTTCAAAATCACCAGCCACCCCTTCGGAGAAAGTGTAATCTTTCTATTTCTGTTAGGATTGGCAGCCTGGGAAACCGACAGGGGTAGTTCTACCCGGTACAGCAGTGGTTTTTCAACCTGTGGGTCGCGACCCCTTTGGTGGTTGAACGACCCTTTCACAGGGGCCGCCCGATTCATCACAGTAGCAAAATGACAGTGATGAAGTAGCAACGGAAATAATATTGTGGTTGGGGGTCACCACCCCATGAGGAACTGTATGAAAGGGTGGCGGCGTGAGGCAGGTTGAGGACCCCTGCTCTAGAGGGTCGCTGTGAGTCAGGACAGACTTGGGGGCAGTGAGGTGGGGTAGTGGTTGACCCGCAGGACTGCTTGAACAGCAAAGTGAGCAGCTGGAACCCACCAGTCGCTCCTAGGGAGAAAGACTGTCGGAGCCAGGACAGAATTCTCACAGCCGCGGCTGAATGGCTGAAGGGCCCCTGCGCCTCCCAATGAGGGCATTTCCAGGCAGCTCGGCCGCCAGCCCTCGCTGGGTGGCTGGGTGGCTAAGTGCCCAGTAAGCACAAGTAAGCCCGTGCTTACCTTACCCTTTAGGTAATCCGACAGTGGCACCCGCAGGGGCACGGCCATGCCCTTCACAGGTGGAAGCTGGGGGGCGCTGGGTAGAAGACCCATACCTCTTAGGGCCCTGGCGCCGCCCCGCCCCCACCGTCCAAGGCTGGGGGTGGCCCTCACCCCGCCGTGAACCCAGCGCAGAGGACTCGCCTCAGTTTCCCCAACCCTCACAGCCACTCCTACCCCCACAGGCACCAGATCATGCTGTGGGAGAAAAAAATCCAGCTGGCCAAAGAGATGCGCGCCTCTGTGGACTCGGAGACCGGCCAGGCGGAGATCCGAGCCATGAAGGCGGAGATCCACCGGATGCAGGTGAGGGGCGGGGCCTAGCGGGAGGGGGCGGAGCCGAGGGGGTCGGTGGGAACCCGGTGGACAGAAGGGTCCTAGCGGGAGGTGAAGGGGTGCCTGGTGGGAGGGGCGTGGGTCTGTGGGTGGGAGGCGCGGAGGAGGGGAGCCTGGTGGAAGAGATGGGACCTAGCAGGAGGTGAAGGAGGACCCTAGTGGGCGGGGCGTTAACATGTGGGCGGGGCGTTAGCTTGTGGGCGGGGCTGTGGCTGGAGTGGATTCCCCGGGCACTCACTGTGCTACCCCAGCGGGCCCAAGCGCAGTGCGTGGCTTGCGGCCCCTCGTGACCCACCCTTGGCCTGGCTCTGTGCCCCCTACGCCTCACGCCCCTGAATCCATCGCTAAGCGGCCTGCACGCTGTGCCTCCTCCCCGCTGGCAAACAGCTCTTGGTCTCACCAACACCGGTTCTCCACCCTACCCCCACCCAACCCACTGCCATGGGGGGCCTGGCTCAGGACGGAGCAGAGGGCTTCTCAGGCTTGAAATCTTTAAGGAGCAGACAGCCTCATCTTTCCCTCCAGCATCGGTTAGTGGGTTCCAACTGCCCTGCAGCCCGGCCCTTACTTAACCCGCCTGGCCACCTTGCTTCCCAGGCCCCACAGTCCGTGAGGAGCGCCAGCCCTGCTGACCTTCCCTTCCTTCGCCAGCAGCTCAGCTCTTTCCCATCGCGCACCCCTGGGGCACCCTCCCAGCTGCAGGTCGCCCTCAGCCCCTGGTCACCAACAAGCTCCTTCCCTGTGGATCTGAGGTAGAGCCAAGTTGGAGAGAGAAAGGCTGCAGGGACAATCCCTAAGGCACCGTGGTGTGGGGGGAGCCGAGACACACAGATCCGATCTGTGAGGCAGAGAGGAACGTTGGAAATCAGGGCCGCAAGGATGGCCAAGTGGCTTTCTCAAGGGGCCATTCGCTGGAGAAAGACGGGGCTCTCTACTCCAGAAAAGAGTCAGTCTTGGAACCCACAGGGGCAGTTCTACCCTGTCCTGTAGGGTCGCTGTGAGTCACCATCAACTCCATGTCCGTGAGCTTGTTTTTTTCAACAAGCACAGCTGAAACGATTAGACATCCTCACACAAAAATAAAAAAGAACCTTTATCCACAACTCCTATCCACCCACGAAAATGGACTCATTTACCTAAAAGTAAGAAACTTCCAGAAGAAAAAGAAAGAGAAAAATCTCTGTAACCTTGGGCTAGGCAAAGGTCTCTCTCTCTCTCTCTCTCTCTCTCTCTCTCTCTCTC